CATCAGGTCGTGCTCGTGTGATGACCCACGACTGTTCCTCCGCTCGCGCTCGCGACAAGTCACGTTGACCGGCTGTCCCAGGTGCGCCGCCTCTTGACCGTCGACGCATGAGGCACTGACGATGTCATCTTCAGGATCGCCGCGGGAGTCTTTGCCGGGTAGCACGACGCTGCGCAGTCTGCACGCGGAGCATTCTGCGGCGCGGCGTCTCGTGCTCTGTACACGCTCGGTGTGCCGTCTTGGCGCATGAGCAACGGGCCACAATGCGTGTGCTGGTCAGAATCGCCCGCGCGCACCCTCAACAATATGCCGCTTGCTGGTGTCCCTATCGTGCTCAGGGGGAGGCGGCGTGAGCGGCGTGACGACATGAGAACGGATCAATAACGTTACGGCATGTATTCATTACCTGGTAGCTTATTTTCGCGTAGCTGAGACAATGGGCGCCCGGTGAGCGGGAGAGCTGGGCGCGGTTCCTGCGATCGGGGGAGGAGACGGGGGCCAGTGTGCGTGCGGCGGCTAGACGCGAGGAAGATGGCGAGGTGTCAGACGCGCGCGTGTAAAGGAGCGGCGTGTTGCGTGACGCAAGCGCAAAGTGGGCGCGTCTCGGACTGGGCACCGGATGTCTGTGCGTGACCCTGCCGGTGTGCGGGTGTCGCCTTGCGCCACAGCGGGTGCATGGCCTTGTGACTCACTCTGACTCGCTTCTCTGTAACATCCTGTCGACCGGCCGTCCCGCTTCCAGCTCACTCCAGGGCGGGCATCGCAGACCGCGCGCCGGGCAACCGTGCAGGTCGGATCCGTGTTGCCAGGTACGCCGCATGTTGGCTATGGATGCATGGAGTGCTGATGGCGCTGTATTCTAGACTCCCGCGCGAGGCCTCGTCTAGTAGCATAACTCTGCCCGGTCGCGCGCGTCCTAGGCAGGACACGAGCATCGCGCACGAACATCGTGGTACGTACCTGTGGTGTAGCTGAGACGACGGCGGTGGTGGCGGTGCAGGAGACTGACGTGCGCGCGTCGAGAGAACGGTAGCGGCGGCATATCAGACGGGTGCGCTGAAGAAGGGAAGAAGAGCGCGCAGTGTCAGGCTGTTCTGCGGCGGACGGTGGAGGCAGAGACAAGGAACGAGGGGTGGCGCACCATACTATGCCATTGCGCGAGGCTGTCGAGCGAGACGCGACGGAGAGGGAGATGGCGCGGACGTCGTCGACGGGAGCTGGGGACGGAGCGCGTCGAGACGGGGTGATAGAGCGTGCGAGATTGACGGCGCGATGCGGGGATGAAGAGGCGGCCGAGGATACGGCGTGCCAAGATGCGTGAATGGAGGGCGGGTGGATGCAGCGACGGGCATTGAGCTCACCTAGCATAGCGTGTTCCCTGGGCCCCCTTGACGGCGCTCGAGGCGGCGGCATCAGGAAGTGGCAGGCGGAGCGCGTGTTGAGGACCGGGAGCGAGCGGGCATGAGTATTGCGCAACGGCGAGGTTTAGTCGGCGTACATTGTGGGTGTCCGGGCGTGCAGGCGCAGGTGAGCCATTGACCCGAAATCTGTAAAAACCCTACATTCCGCTCGTTTTGTGAATAAGTACACCCCGCGCATCATAGGTGAATGCCAGGGGCACTGACCTCGCCGTTTCTGCCTATGGCTGATTGTACCGGCCTGAAGAATCGGCGCGAGTTTCCGCACGCGTGTATGATGCTGATGCAGTAGTCGTGCGCCGTCATCATCTGTCATGCCACATGAATCTGCTTCAGGTGTTTAATATGTTAAATTTCTGCACGGCCGCATAGGGCACCGTCTCTTAGAACAACACAGCCTGCTGGTATTGTTACACGAACGCGCCATGATTTCACCCTTGTTACCATTTTGTACTCTTCATTCAGGATCCCGCCGCTGCATAGTCCGATGTTCCCGCACCATGTGCGAGTCTCTGTCCGACTCTCCAGCGACACTGAACACCTGAACATCGACACGGGCACCGAACATCCGGCGACCTGCACGCCTGCTATGGCAGCGCGTAGCAATGCGAACAAGGACGGAGGCAGCCCTTGCTCGCGCGCGCGCGCGCGCGGCTGTCGCCTCTCGGCGT